GAATAGAATAGAATAGAATAGAATAGAATAGAATAGAATAGAATAGAATAGAATTCTTTATTGGCCAAGTGTGATTGGACACACAAGAATTTGTCTTGGTGCATGTGTACTCAGTGTACATAAAAGAAAAGATACATTCATCAAGAATCATAAGTACAACACTTAATAATAGTCATAGGGTACAATAAGCAATTAAATCATACTACGGAACAGTCAATATAAATCATAAGGATACAAACAACAAAGTTACAGTCATACAGTCACAAGTAATAAAGAGTGATGAGAAGATTAATAGTAATAGTAATGAAGACTTTGTAAATAGTTGGAGACCGTTGAGGGAATTATTTGTTTAGCAGAGTGATGGCAGAGAAAAAACTGTCCTTGTGTCTAATTGTTCTGGTGCGCAGTGTTCTGTAGCATCATTCTGAGGGTAGGAATTGACTGAGTGTTTAGAATAAAGGGAATAATTATTGTGAATATGTCCTATTCTCACCATTTAACTGTTTCTAACAAAACATGGTACTATATGAACCATTATATCTCTAAATTCTAAATGCAGTTTGCATTCTAATTAATCTTTTGAAACATTTTGCAGGGTGTGTTCATCTTCAGTGCTGTGCAAATGACTCCTCTCACTTTGGGGAATTATGTTTTCCCCAAATGGGGCCAAGGTGTTGGTTGGTTTATGGCTCTCTCTTCTATGGTGCTGATTCCAGGCTACATGGCATATATGTTCCTTACTTTAAAAGGTTCCTTAAAACAGGTAAGCTGTCTTTCACACTATACCTCAAGATTCTAGATTTAGCGGCCACCAACTTCTATTATCTTTTGAATTACAATATGAAAATATAGTATACCTGTGACAATGTATTTTGGTTAGCTTTTTCTCTTAAAATAAACTTCTTGACAAGTAAAATAATAGTAGTGATAAATATATTTTCTGGGAAATAATAGTCAAGTATATATTTTGTATAAAATTACATTCAGATATATATTCTCTATAAACAGACAAAAGTAATAACTGAGCTCAAAGTATGTCACAATATAGAATGACTATAGATGTTCATTCAGTTCCTTTTCTTAATAATCGACTTCTGAATGCTATCATGCTGAAATTGATTTACAGGTTACTTTTTAATATGTTAAACTAAAACTGTATTCCCATTTTATCCACATAAATACCTAGCAGTTGAATGCTCATTTAACTTAGTCTTGCTTCTTCATTTGTTGGGATACCTTCCAGCAGATTATGGCACCATTTCCCCATTTCTTAAGAATCCTACATCTTTACATTCTTTATCCTAATCCATCAAAATCTCATGGCAACTTTCAAACATTTACACAGTCTTTGCGGGTTCAGATAGATAGGAAAGGTAGATGAGAATATGCACCAAGAAACTGATTGTTTCAGATCTCTAGATGATCATCGCCCATGATATTTATAAGCAGAGGAAAAAGAATGTGCCACTTTAAGAACTTTCTTACTGACCACTCTGATGGCAATGCTTTAGATAGGAATAGAATCATCATAATCCAATTCCTCAAATTTCCATCCCATTGAACTGCTCATCAAATGATGACATGTCCAAGATTCTAGTCCAAAAGAATCAACATTATAGCACTTGGCATTTTTCTCATATGAATATCATCAAGCAGATCAATCAAGGCTGTTTCCCTGATGCATATACATGTGGAGCCCAACAGAAATAGATTTGGAAAGTTGCCTTACAAGCAAGCTTGAAATGTTTTGTCTAAGAGAATCCTTGTCCAAGAAAACTATTTTTACATATTTTGGAAAAACTTGTTTTCCAAAAATTTAGAGACCAGGTTGCGCTTCCTGAAGAAAAACCACATTACCGTCACCTTCAGTGTAAAGAGACATTGATCATTCCCTGGTCCTACCATGCTGATTTTAGCAGTCAGCAATAGAGTTGCAACATCTATTTGTTCACATTTTATGGGGTTCATATTTGAACTATTTGTTCACATTTTATGGGGGTTTTGTTTTTGCAAATTGCCAGAGCTATGTAGTCGAATATATGTGAAAGTGAAAAAAGGCATAACCAAAATTCACCTCCAAATATCACTCTAAATATTAGCACATGAATGCAACAATTATTCTGATCATATTTAATTTTGTAAAGACTTGAATTGCTGGTCTGGAAACACTTACTGCTTTATGGCTCCCTCCCTCAAAGAAAATCAGAGACATCTACAGCAAATTGTTGGTAAAGTATTTTCTTGCTTTATCCATCTGCCTGAGTAAGGAAGTGAAATTGTATAAATGAAATTTAAATATTCAAATTCAAGTAATAAATAATGATGTTGTTGCATTTCTCTTTCCCTGTCTATATTAGCGTATCCAAGTAATGATTCAACCAAGTGAAGACATTACTCATCCTGAGAATGGACCAGAACAAGCCCAACAGAGTAATTCTGCAAACAAAGAAGCATATATATAAAATCAGTCTTTGAAGTGATTCAAAACTTCTTCTGAGGGCAAATACATAAGCACACACACACATAAACACACAAAAAACCATGGTTGAATATTACCACAAATTTATGTCTGAGAATAAAATAACCTACCTCTAGTGGCACAAAAGACCATCACCACTATATAGGAAGCAATATGGTATGATCAAACCATTTTGTGGGCTTAGGTGTTAACAATGTTTTGTGTTTCTGGCAATCCATAGACTGTTAACATTTTTATTCTCTCTCAGTAAGTGTGGAGTATGTGGAATTTATTAAAAGCACACACTGGTAGACCATTTTTAATCTTTACATTTTAGTGCATCAATTTGAACTTTTGTGCTAGTTTTTATTAATAAATTTCTTACTATTTGATTCCCAAGCTGTTATTTCTTAGAACAGTTAAATTGGAAAGCTGTTTTTTCACCAGCAAAGTGTTTTTATGAAAGAAATTTCCAGTGAAACTACTGCCCTAGAAATATTAACTAACTTCATTGTTGGGTTGGTTTTTCTAATTTTCTCCTTACATGGAGCTATGTATTAATCATTCTTATACAACTGCCACAGGCAATACTTCCACTATCTAGTAATATCTTTTGGGCCTCTGGCATTTAATATATTACATTATTTTGTAGTAATATAAACTATCAGAATATTTTCAGTATAAGCATCTTTCAAAGTACTGGATTTTTTTAATAAAACAAAAAAGTGGCAATATGACTACCTATTTCAAACTGTGATGAGTCCCTCTCAAAGGTTGGTCCTATATAAACTGCATACTTTATCTATCATTTATGCCAGGTTTTATTTCATTTTATGTTATATAGTTATACCACTGCTAAGTGCAACATATATACTGAAAAGAACCAAACCAATAGCTTATATATCAAAACACTTCCCATAGAATACAATTTAGGGCTTTAAACTTGGCACTTCTTTAGTTGGTTTGTTGGAGATGTATCAATAATGAAGTTTTTGCTGGGAAGAAAATTGTAAAGCACTCTGAAAAAAGAATTTTAGTTTTTTTAAAAAATATATATTTTATGTATGTATTTTTCATGGTAATGATGGAGACAATGAAATTTTTTTGATGGGCTCTAGCATGCATTTTCCACAGGAGTTTAAAACATTTCTTCCAACATAGAAAACTGCAAAGCTCTGAGAGACCTCAATAACAATTTCTTGTTTGGCAGCTATGGAACAGACAGTGGGGATCATAGGAAAATGGTTTTAAATGACGGATAGAATTGTGCAATGAAACATAATTTTCAGCAAAATCTTGTGCAACATACAGTGTTAGATAGCATACATTTTATGTAGACCTACTATGTGAACAACATGTTAACTGTGAATGTTGGTTTTTTGTTGTTTTTTGTCTGAAGGTGACAAACATATGTTCTTGCAATAAGGTATTATTCTCAGAATGTCAAGCACATTATTGTAGCAAATATACATACATATATAAATATATATAAATATATATATATATATACATGCACACACATTTCAATCTAATAATAAAAGCTTATAAACAAAGTATTGTTTAGTAGGTTCTAAATTGTTTCATACAGTAGATCACATGTAAATTATCAAGAAATCTATATGAAATTAAATGTCTATAGTGAAGTCTCAGATCCAAATATTGTAGATTTTCAGGGTTTAGAAGAAAAATAAAATGTCATATTTTACATGTTTCACATACATTACAAATTCAAACTTCCTCTTTATTGTTTATGTAATCAGGTCCCATGTTGTTCCAAGAAAAATGAAGTATTCAATGTTTGATTGTATAACACTTATAACAGATGTTTGACAGATTTGCTCTAGCAAAAGTCTGCACAAACATATCATATATAGCACAAAAATAGTGTGGTAGAACTACTGTGTGTAAACTGTGAATAGCTGTCACTTTTTGTAGTATTTACCCTTTTAAAAGAAAGAATATATGATCATATATGGTTTTGCAATAATAAATTATTCTCTAAACATCAAGCAAATTTATCTCTATATAAAAATATATGTAATATATACACATTCTAAACTATATATAGAACCTGTTTAAAAGAGATAGAGTACAGTATAATTTAAAAAAATTGCAATGTTCTATGGACCAAATGTACAATATTTATAAATTAAAATGCATTTTAAATGTCTACAAATAGTGTCTTAATTAAAGCACGGTTGTTATGTAACTTTCCAAAAGCTAGAGAAAAAAATAAAGATTATATTATACATTCTATGATATGGCTTTAATTTTCCTTTTTTCATTAGGCAGGGGATTGTATATGCTTATTTATAGTAGTGTAAAACAAACTTCAATATCAGAAAGACCTTTTACTTCAGGTGTAACAATCAAGAAAAGAAAAACTAGATGAATAAGATTTAATTTACACTGTGATGTTTCCATACTAATCAAAAGGAGCATCTTTCTCCATCCAGAAGACCAAAAGCAAATGAATAAGAAAATGCAGAGAAGGTCATTTATTTCCTACGGGACTGGATCTCCCTGAAGGAATTCATGTTCACAATTACATGGAATATTAATTCAATTATTTGTGCTTTAATCTTAAAATAAGGTTGATTTCAATCAAATTTGGTTTCAAAAAGAAAGTCTATACATTCCCCATACAGATTTGAATCTGATGAAATACAAATTTGTCTATCATCATCATACATGTGACACTGTAGCATATATGATTCAATAAAGTCTCCCAATGCTTGCATGTATTTGTTAAATATGAAAGATGAGAATATGAACCTTACGGATCACCACAGGCAGATAGTGATGAAAATGTGCCCATCATTACTGAATACAATCTTCTTAATAGGACTGAGACCAAGCAAAACCATGGGTATTCTCTTCACCAGCAACCTATGGTCAAGAATATAAAACATCAACTTATGGATCTGACAACAGCAGGATAACTAACTGGCCTCTGTCCATCACCAACAGAAATTCAACACAAACAGATGTGAGAGAGCACCATATATCCAAATCTAAACCATATTGCTTTAGATTTAAAAACAGAAGTAAAATGAACTAAAGACATTATTCTGAAACTATCCAAACATCTTCTCAGCTAACTTCTTTAAAATTAAAGGATTAGAGACTGGCTTCTAATTCAAGGAATAGTAGACTACAGAGACCCTATTTCTTGAACAGGGATCACTTGTTAACAATGTGCAAATCTCAACAAGGATGTTTACCAACTGTCTTCAAGAGTGGAGATGCCAGTTGAAATAAATAAGATAGACAAGGCTCTAACCTACAAGATGGTTAGAATTACTGCCACTTCTTCCAATGAGAATTGCCTGAAACAATTAGGACAAGATCCTGTTTCAGAGTTTTCCATGAAAGACTTTATAGATTCTGTAATCAAAGTGGAGGAAAAGTGTGTAAAATCTGACTGAACATAGCAGCAAAGAAAGTGATAAATAATTCCTAGAGAAGAATGGAATGGATATCTACTTGGATATGAATCTAGATTTATAAGACTGTGGAGGTCCACCGGATAGTTCTTGCTCCATATGTGAAGAGAATGTTATTTGTTCCACAATGGCCCTACAGTATTCCAAGAAAAATACTGCCAATATATGATGATCTCTATAGGAATAAGTTGTCTCCAGCGTGCTCAAGTCTCCATTACCTATTTTACCTCTTGCAACTTATCTAAGTAGTCAGATGATCTATAAGGAGTTGATAAGTGTACTCTACCATTAATGATTTCTTCCACAAATTTAACAAAATTCTGGGGTTTCACAATTGTCAAAATAAGATGAAAACCTTCTCAAGCTGATCAAGATTTACATTCCATTGCTTTTGTAGTAGAAGGGGCTCCCTTAACCAGGTACTGAGTAAGATAAGTCACAACCTGATCAATCTATATTCCCACATTACCAAACCTCAAGGAAGAAATATATGCTCCCCTATGTGTGAAAGCCCTTCAAAAAGTCCTAAATAGACTTTCCCATTATGAGTCTGTCCAATTGGTAAGTTTATCCAGACAAACCCTTCTGAAGATTGATTGCTTTCATAGACTCATCTTTCTGGTATAAAGGATAAATTCTTCTGTATTGTACACAAACTTTCATCTTCTGCCAGAGAAGCTATAATATAAATCATATAAGCAAACAATTGCTTCCCGAAACCATTTAACACTGAATATTCTGAATCCTTTTATCTTTCTCAGATTATTATACTTTTTTAAAATTAGACAATATTTTTGCATAATATTACTATTTCAGATTCCACACAGACAAAGATGTAACTCATTATGAGTGGATTTTTTCTTCTCCCTTTGCCTCAGTGCTGAGATGGGGGAAGGAGAATATGAAGATCTCTGAGTTCCTGTTCAACCTTATGATTCTATGTTTTATAAGCATTTTCATTAATCAGTTGAATCATTTCAATTTAATTGCTTTTCTTTAACTGTTTTCCTCATGTAATTTCAGCCAATGTGCAAACGAATAGATTCTTTATTCATAGTCAGTAATCAACCATTTAAAATACCCTACAAAAACTACAAAATGCAAAACAGCAGTCCATAGTTACCAATACAATGATAAAACAGTAAAACAAAGAAAAGAATGCATCATACCCGTAGAGGAAACAAAATTAACTTTATTATTTGTTCCAACTTCTACATATCGCTACAATTCTTTTTTTATTGCAGTAGTCTCATGGGACCAAACTTCTACAACAGGCATGGCCATGTATGCAAGGCATCCATTGGATATATGATTGGCTACACTATGATATAACTGGTTATAAGCAGCCATGGACTATGAGCAGCAAAGGAAGCAGAATCCGGTAATAAAAATATGGTGGATGTGTTGACAAAATTTATCTTTCTTTCTCTCTTGGGAAATGATGTGATCTGGACAATAATGCCAGCATTAAATACTGTAAATGTACTCCTGGAAGAGGAGAAGCTGTTTCACTTAAAAACTGCAAATGGAGGTTTGTATCTGGAAAAATGTAATGATG